AGTGTATGAAGGCGCGGCTTGCAATATGGCTACACGGGGAGATGTATCTCGATTGCCTATGTAGGTTGGTACGGCGCTGCGCAGCGCTACACTAGGCGCTATGAAGTTACTGACACAAGTGAAGAGTGTATGAAGGCGCGGCAGGCAATATGGCTATACGGGGAGATGTATCTCGATTGCCTATGTAGGTTGGTACGGCGCTGCGCAGCGCTACACTAGGCGCTATGAAGTTACTGACACAAGTGAAGAGTGTATGAAGGCGCAGCAGGCAATATGGCTACACGGGGAGATGTATCTCGATTGCCTATGTAGGTTGGTACGGCGCTGCGCAGCGCTACACTAGGCGCTATGAAGTTACTGACACAAGTGAAGAGTGTATGAAGGCGCGGCAGGCAATATGGCTACACGGGGAGATGTATCTCGATTGCCTATGTAGGTTGGTATGGCGCTGCGCGGCGCTACACTAGGCGCTATGAAGTTACTGACACAAGTGAAGAGTGTATGAAGGCGCGGCAGGCAATATGGCTACACGGGGAGATGTATCTCGATTGCCTATGTAGGTTGGTACGGCGCTGCGCGGCGCTACACTAGGCGCTACAAGTTACTGACACAAGTGAAGAGTGTATGAAGGCGCGGCAGGCAATATGGCTACACGGGGAGATGTATCTCGATTGCCTATGTAGGTTGGTACGGCGCTGCACAGCGCTACACTAGGCGCTATGTAGTTACTGACACAAGTGAAGAGTGTATGAAGGCGCGGCAGGCAATATGGCTACACGGGGAGATGTATCTCGATTGCCTATGTAGGTTGGTACGGCGCTGTGCAGCGCTACAAGTTACTGACACAAGTGAAGAGTGTATGAAGGCGCGGCAGGCAATATGGCTACACGGGGAGATGTATCTCGATTGCCTATGTAGGTTGGTACGGCGCTGCACAGCGCTACACTAGGCGCTATGAAGTTACTGACACAAGTGAAGAGTGTATGAAGGCGCGGCAGGCAATATGGCTACACGGGGAGATGTATCTCGATTGCCTATGTAGGTTGGTACGGCGCTGCGCAGCGCTACACTAGGCGCTATGAAGTTACTGACACAAGTGAAGAGTGTATGAAGGCGCGGCAGGCAATATGGCTACACGGGGAGATGTATCTCGATTGCCTATGTAGGTTGGTACGGCGCTGCGCAGCACTACAAGTTACTGACACAAGTGAAGAGTGTATGAAGGCGCGGCAGGCAATATGGCTACACGGGGAGATGTATCTCGATTGCCTATGTAGGTTGGTACGGCGCTGCGCAGCGCTACACTAGGCCCTATGAAGTTACTGACAAAGTGAAGAGTGTATGAAGGCGCGGCAGGCAATATGGCTACACGGGGAGATGTATCTCGATTGCCTATGTAGGTTGGTACGGCGCTGCGCAGCGCTACACTAGGCCCTATGACGTTACTGACAAAGTGAAGAGTGTATGAAGGCGCGGCAGGCAATATGGCTACACGGGGAGATGTATCTCGATTGCCTATGTAGGTTGGTACGGCGCTGCACAGCACTACAAGTTACTGACACAAGTGAAGAGTGTATGAAGGCGCGGCAGGCAATATGGCTTCACGGGGAGATGTATATCGATTGCCTATGTAGGTTGGTACGGCGCTGCGCAGCGCTACACTAGGCGCTATGAAGTTACTGACACAAGTGAAGAGTGTATGAAGGCGCGGCAGGCAATATGGCTACACGGGGAGATGTATCTCGATTGCCTATGTAGGTTGGTACGGCGCTGCGCAGCGCTACACTAGGCGCTATGAAGTTACTGACACAAGTGAAGAGTGTATGAAGGCGCGGCAGGCAATATGGCTACACGGGGAGATGTATCTCGATTGCCTATGTAGGTTGGTACGGCGCTGCGCAGCGCTACACTAGGCGCTATGAAGTTACTGACACAAGTGAAGAGTGTATGAAGGCGCGGCAGGCAATATGGCTACACGGGGAGATGTATCTCGATTGCCTATGTAGGTTGGTACGGCGCTGCGCAGCGCTACACTAGGCACTATGAAGTTACTGACACAAGTGAAGAGTGTATGAAGGCGCGGCAGGCAATTTGGCTACACGGGGAGATGTATCTCGATTGCCTATGTAGCTTGGTACGGCGCTGCGCAGCGCTACACTAGGCGCTATGAAGTCACTGACACAAGTGAAGAGTGTATGAAGGCGCGGCAGGCAATATGGCTACACGGGGAGATGTATCTCGATTGCCTATGTAGCTTGGTACGGCGCTGCGCAGCGCTACACTAGGCGCTATGAAGTTACTGACACAAGTGAAGAGTGTATGAAGGCGCGGCAGGCAATATGGCTACACGGGGAGATGTATCTCGATTGCCTATGTAGCTTGGTACGGCGCTGCGCAGCGCTACACTAGGCGCTATGAAGTCACTGACACAAGTGAAGAGTGTATGAAGGCGCGGCAGGCAATATGGCTACACGGGGAGATGTATCTCGATTGCCTATGTAGCTTGGTACGGCGCTGCGCAGCGCTACACTAGGCGCTATGAAGTTACTGACACAAGTGAAGAGTGTATGAAGGCGCGGCAGGCAATATGGCTACACGGGGAGATGTATCTCGATTGCCTATGTAGCTTGGTACGGCGCTGCGCAGCGCTACACTAGGCGCTATGAAGTTACTGACACAAGTGAAGAGTGTATGAAGGCGCGGCAGGCAATATGGCTACACGGGGAGATGTATCTCGATTGCCTATGTAGCTTGGTACGGCGCTGCGCAGCGCTATACTAGGCGCTATGAAGTTACTGACACAAGTGAAGAGTGTATGAAGGCGCGGCAGGCAATATGGCTACACGGGGAGATGTATCTCGATTGCCTATGTAGCTTGGTACGGCGCTGCGCAGCGCTACACTAGGCGCTATGAAGTTACTGACACAAGTGAAGAGTGTATGAAGGCGCGGCAGGCAATATGGCTACACGGGGAGATGTATCTCGATTGCCTATGTAGCTTGGTACGGCGCTGCGCAGCGCTACACTAGGCGCTATGAAGTTACTGACACAAGTGAAGAGTGTATGAAGGCGCGGCAGGCAATATGGCTACACGGGGAGATGTATCTCGATTGCCTATGTAGCTTGGTACGGCGCTGCGCAGCGCTACACTAGGCGCTATGAAGTTACTGACACAATACTCAACGACAAGCCTTACGACCAAAAAGACACTTTCGTATTTTGATACCACGGCCTGCATATTTGGTAGCTAATAATGGACCTGTATTACAAAAAGACTAATTCGGTACGGTAATTGTATGAAAATGTAAATGTAGTTATAAGTATATTTGGTAAACAATTATATTTCGTGCATAGTCATATACCGTATAGAACTAAAGAGGGATGTTTTTGTCACATCTTCAATATTAGTGTGAGTGTTAAGAACTAATTAAATAATATATAAATAATAAAACTATTTTAATGCTTAAGAAAGTGTTATAATATGTGGTTCAAACGTTTTTTCCCGTTCGTCCTAGGTCATCATTTCAAGTAATTGTTTTTAATACTTATTAAATATACAACTTTTGATTAAATCTGAATTAATTGTAAAATTTACAAATTTTATTAACTTAGTACGTTATGTTTTTTTAATTCTTTAACAGCTGATGATTGCAAATTTATTTTTTAAATATTAATAAAATATTATCAATATTAAGCATAGTACAAAATTCGTAAAATAAAAGTATATATAAAAATTTATCGACACACTTTACTTATCTCTAGAGACTAAAAATTAACCCTCATCAACATATTTTTACACAGTAATAAAACAATAATACATTAGTTAAAAGCCATATAGAATATGGTTTATCCATTCGTCCGACGAAGTAGTGTATGGGGAAGATTATTACAAATGTACGATAAACCTAACAACTTCGATAGTGGACACAAGCCAGCCCGCACTGAGACTAAATGCAGTTTGCAGTATGTAGTGTCTAGTGGGTGGTCGGGGGTAAACAGCTGATTGTCTCTCTCTCTCTCTCTCTCTCTCTCTCTCCCCACCCCTTGGTCGATACGACCTTGCTGTCACAGGTAGATATCGATCGATTACCTCTGTCTCACCCTAGGATACTCCGTGAAACATTCTACCGCCCCTTTATACTGCTTGGAGAAAACTTAGATATCAAACATTTTTTTTTAGGTAAAATGTTTCAAAATTCACGTATTTTTTCATCATGGAATTTCCGATTACCTACCACTAACATACACATACGATGACAACCAAATACATTTAAAAATACTAATAAACCATAACGTAACGATTTAGGTTTACCTTGCATATGTGTTGTTCTCAATCGAATATAGGCCTAAATCCTAAAGGTGTAAACCAATTAGTAATCACCATTGTTAACACCTCGTGTATTTTGATGGTCCTCTTGTACATCTTAAATACTATTTATGTAAACTAAAAATCAATCCGAACCACTTCTCAAGTACAAGAATTTACTCTGATTTTAGAATACTATCGTTTACCTTCCACTAGTATAAACTAAACGTGTTAACAACGTAAGAACTTTACAATATTTTATATATGTAAAAATGTAAATTATTTTCAAACCGCTTCTTGAGTCAAGCACTCAAAGCCTTGGTTGGCTTTAAAAGTACTAACATTTCACGATATTTAACATTATCTTTAAAAAATGCAATTTAGCATTCATAATTCTAATTTATAGTCTGCCAAAAATGACCATTACACCCCAATTTCTCACGCCACTCATTCATTCATAGATGAAAGTACTTGCGACTGTATCAAGCCAATCGATCCCAGTCCAGCTGTCGGGCGCGGGGGTGGGAGAGTACCGTTGGGAGGTGGGAGGGGTGTGACGTCACAACGATGACGTACACGAGCCAGCCAATGAGCGCGTCGCGTGACGTCACAGCACGTCACGGATGGGCGAAAGGCGGTGTGTTTTATAATAGTGTCTGTCGGTCGGTCGCGCCGCTCCAGTACAGTGCGGACGCGCGTCGCGTGTAGTTGTCGTATAGTATTGTCGGCGTCGTATTTTCGTACCTACAGTGTCATCGTAGACCTGGAGTCGCCCTCGTCCTCCCCAGGTATGGATGTGTATGTGAAGTGCATCAATGTTGGAGTGCGATGTTGAGCCGTTGTTACAAGAGCGTCTGCGACAATCAACATCAAAGTTTCGACGACAACAACAATAGCAAACACTTCTGCTGTAAGTCGACTGTAGTGGTGACAACTAACGGTGGAGGATTACTAACACGCATGTACACAACTACTCAGATATAGAGTCGAAGGCAGATGTTTAGATTTTGTTTGGTAAATAAACATTCAAACAGTTAGAGAAATAGGCTACTATTAATTTAATGATTAAATATAAAGGTAAAAAAGTCAATCAAACCTTAGTGGCTAACCTATACTCAATAAAGTTATAAAACTGTATACAAGTCAAATAATTTTTTTCAGTAACGGGGATATAAATATAAATTTATTATGAACAAATTACTCTATTTTGTTTAGTAACCCAGTGGTCAACTAACTTAAATCTCAGAAACACTTACAATAGGAATAATATATGTTTTTACTTATTAAACTGTTACCTATAGTTCAAATAACAGTGACCAACTAAATCTCAAAAACCGATACAATACGAATTATATAAATTGTTTTACTTATAAAACTGTTACTTATAGTTCAAATAACAGTGACCAACTAAACCTCAGAAACCCATACAATACGAATTATCTAAAAATCTTAACTTATAAAACTGTTACTTATAGTTCAAATAACAGTGATCAACTAAATATCAAAAACCCATACAATACAAAATATACAACAATAGTATAATGGCATATAAGATGCAATGTCTCTGACCACGTCAAAAATACAGAGATGTCATTTCTCTATCATTCCCTACTATCGCCGAAATCGCTCAATACTACTATAGTAATAAAAATACTTACCAATTAAAATTTTGCATTTTATTATTTTATATGATTATATGAAAAAGCCTAAAATCTTACCGATGAAACATTTTATTACTGTACGTGAAAAATATGAATTTTAATATAACATACGGATTTTAATGAATACATAAAAAATATTCGATACTTTAGTTACTTTGTAAAATAATGAACATGTTAAATAATATTTTATTTTTTAATACTTCCTCAACACCTTAAATGAATTATAACTGGTCATAAGTACCTATCTAAATTAGCGGTGTATCTTTCTCTATAGTTTATCTGAGTTCATTATATTTGCGACAAATAGTTGTACGTACTTAATAGTAACAAATATTCATAATCCAAAAGGTACAATGACCAGTTAATAATTAACTGCAGTAAAAGATCCAATGTATAAATACATTGAACAATTGCATTGATATAACTTAAACAACATATTACGCGCATATATTAAATATTTTCGTGTGTTTAACTTGTTTAAGTAGTTTTAATAGAACTGATATTGTCAGTTTACGGATAATTTTAAAAATTATAATATTTTGTACTTAGATAAAAGAGTAATTTCATTATCATTATCTCTATAATAATCTTCCATCTTACAAATTGCATCAAAATGGCCAAAACATTCAATGAATTGCAGTAAATGTATGAATAATTTCTAAGTTATGGTAGTTTGTCTATCATATATGTTTTAGATTGATCACTATTCAAACATTCAACGAAGATTTTACCATTCCGATCTTTTCATTTGCTAGTTATCTAGCAAATAACATTTACTTTACTTGACGTAACATTTACTTTAACTGTTTAGTGATTAGTTTGGAATAATAAAATAGAAGTGTTTTCTAAGAAATCAACTTTCGTTTTTAAATTGATTCAAACCATCCATAAAACTAGACTTCTGATAATATAAAATTAACAATTAGTTATCGTTTCAGGGGGTTAAAAGACAATATCACTTTAGCCTTTAGTGCGCAACGTATTTTATTTTGTTATATATATCTGTAAAATCTTATTAAATTGATAAACTGGAACGAGTCTTTAAGTCATATAAGTAAATTTTCAGCTATACTAAATATCTGTAAGATTTTCTAACCAGTAAAAAGAATTTAATTGAACAAACATCAAACAAACATGTTTAATTGAATAACATCCAATTGATTTATTTGAATGAGGAAAACATGTTTTAACTCTACCCAAACCATAAAACTAACCACGTCTGGAGATTTCTTACCAAAAGGTCCACCAACATAATTCCAAATTATTTTAAGACAACCCATTAATTTTAACCTCTGATTTTAACTTACATTCGACACACACAGGTAAGCCCATTTACAAAATGTTAACATACATAAGTCTATTTTAACGACGGCATAAAATACAAAACGGTTTAGAGAATAGGCAAGAAGTCACGTGAATAGAATCACATGTTCTCTTGACGAGACAGTGGTGGCTTGTGACGTCAAATATGTGACGACAACCCTTGCTGACGTCACGGGGTGGGTCGATAAGGGTGGCTTGTGCGTCACTGAGTGGTCTGGTCCATATTGAAGGGGTGGTCGTGACGTCACTCGCTGGTACAGTCCAAGTTCAAGGGGTGGTCGGTTAGGGGAGGTTCTCTGACGTCACGGGTAATGACGTCAAATCGTCATGACGCCACCCTGTCCTAGACACTCGTTCATTCATATCGGCGACGTCGCTACGTAAGTCACTACACAGTTTCTTATTTTTACCGATATAAATATGTGTTCTTTCATGTTTATGTGTAAGGGTTTAACTAACTGTTGTCATTGATTTAACTGTCATATTACTGTATTCATCATAGACTTTCATTCTTATCTTGTCTATATCTAACATTTACCTATAATATTCCGTGTAACTAAGCTTTAAGGTTTCTATTGCAATTTTCTCAGTCACTTAACTCGTACTACGTAGCTTTTGCATTTCCTCCAAATCATATAAATCATATTCTCATTGTTTCATTCATATCTAGACTTTTCATGCGATTTGCATCCGTTTACCTCCCAAAGCTACATGAATGTGTTAAACAATTTCAACAACTTTTACCGCAATTTCTTTTAAAGTTGCATAGTTACGATCTAAAATGCGTCCGGGTAAAAAATACGGAATATTTTAACTTATACGCCTATAGTGTTTTGGTATAGTTTTTTTTCATACAAGTTTCGACTATCTAGTTCAACCGCGTAGTTGTTTGTACAATAAAATCAATAGTATTAATGTAGGAATGACAGTAAGATTGCCGCTTCCCTATGTCTGCTAGTTTCAAGAATATGAAATGAGCGTACAGTAATCAATTTCCTTAACACAACGTTCTTCACCCCCTGCCACCCTTAGTAGTTCCGCGATCCGCCACTCTCGTGTTGTAGCGCTAGTGTGCATCGTGGGCGCACCCTCTATAATTCCGCATTTTCAATTCAACATATCTTACTTTCCTCTTCCGGCTTTATTGATATTCCATAAATTTGAAATACTGTACGAGTACCATAATTCATGACATTTTAGCTAGACTTTAGTAACTTAGGTGATGGAGAAAAAACTAGTGATAGACAGTAGGTGAAAACAAATTTTCCTTTTGGTGTTGCTAACTTCATAAGGCATATTCATAAATCCGTTTAAAATATTTAAGTAAAATATAAACAATCTATTGTTAGGATCGGAATTTCTATCGCAAACTTTTAAATCGCGTGCAGAAATAATGAAAGGAAGTTTTCACTGATGGATGTATAGTGCTTATTTACGATTATAAGAATAATCATTTATAACCGCCATAAAAAGACTAGGTTCTCCACCCATCTCAATTGGTAATAAAAATAATACAGTAATAATAATAATTGCATTATATTCTTTAATCGTTTATCCGCATAAAGCATAGTGCTTTGTTTGTAGCAACAGACCTCATTGATACATGTGTTATACATCAATGTAGGAATAACTCACGAGTAGAGTATTATACATTGATGGTTTTATACTACGTGAAAATCTTAATGTATATCGCAAAATGAACCTGTTTGGATCAATTGGGATCAGGGAAGTTTCAATATTCCCATTTAGAGCTGCCAATTAACGTCTATAATTAATTCTAACTCGTTGCTCTATTTGGAATCAAAGATTCAGGATTATTAAATGGTTTTCACAACAATATTTAAATATGGACTACAGGATGAAAACAAGCTACGTAGAAAGTAATATAAATAGTTATCATTCGATGGGGAAATATTCAAACACTATATAACATTTTTTAAGTTCGTTTGACAACAATATTTTTAATTGCAATTTTATTTTTTTGTAATTTTGTAGAACTTAGTAATGATACTAGACACTAATACAGCCATACTGTAACTAAAATAATAAAAGATCGAATTAGTACGTAAGACTATAGGAAAGAAATTATAATAAACAAATTTACGATCAATTAGAGAGTAGATGATCTTATACATTAAAATCTATATAAACATAAACACATAAATATATAGTATGAATGTAAAATAAATGAAAGAAAATGTGACTTAGTTTGAAAGCTGTATCCCTTTGGCCAAGTAGAGAAAAGGTTTGGCTGACTGGCGTAAGTTAATTTATGGAACCCTATTTGGCTGACTATGCGTCTATTTTCAATCTCCAAGTACCAATAAAAACTGTTACAACAACTGTTTAGTGTGGATTATTTTTGTTTTAAGTAATCTAGCCTAATTTGTCCTTGCAAATACATACCTATTTCTGTAATAAAATCATTTGTAAATCTTGTATTGCATTCTAGTAGTTTTACTACATTAAGTTGTTTAGATTTATACATACAAAACGGTTGTTTTAACTGTCGATCAGGACCTTTGGCAATTTTTTAGTAATTGTATCAGTAGGCCAATGTAAATACACAGATCAAAAGTGGAAATTCGCGCATGTATTTGCAAATGTTCATTTGTTTAGGGAATCTTCAATTTAGTATTTTTTTACTTGGTAAAAGTAAATTCCCTCGTAGTAATATTTAACATGTCTTAATCGAGCTTAGTTTAAAACTAAAAATATATAAGAGTAGCATAAAATTTGATGTATCCTGAAATCTCTTACCGAATAGTTGTTAAGGTGTAATAAAAATTGACAACAAATTAAATGAAAGGAAGCACTTCGTATGAATAATTGAAAGGATAATAAAAATGCAACGCAAGTTTTCTTATCTGAAAATATGAAGATGCACTAAACTTACAATTTGCAACACAGTGCGAACTACAAGAGC